AGGCCCCCGGGCGGCGGTGGGGCCGGGACCCCGGGATCAGGTGGGGGTGGGCCTGGGGGATTCCGGGGGCCACGGTCCGGATTCCCCCCTGGGACCCCTGGGGGGGGGCCGAACCGGTGGGGGGGTGTGGCAGGCCCACTCAGGGTGGGGATTTATTTTTAGGGGGGGGATTTCCAAGACAAGGGCAGGGAAGGGAAGGGGGGACAAGACCCGGGGGCACATCCCTTTTCAGGGCCGGGGGGGGCCGGCCTGTTTGGGGGAAAAACAACACCCCGGGGAAATGGTCAAAAACCAAGGGGGGTTGGGGCAGGCCCATTTTGGGGGGGACGGAAAAAAAAAAAAATGCCAGCCGGCGGGGGGTGGGCCTTTGGTTTCCCCGCGGTTTAAAGGGGGGCCCCGGGGGGGGCCCCCCCCCCCCCCTCCCTCACATCCTCCTACCCCCCCCTCTCGTCGTCCTCGTCCTCACCAGCTTTACGCTAACCCCGGCATCAGGGTTGATCTGGTGGAGGTCGAAGATGAGCTGGGACAGGTCCTCGATGGAGTAGATGTCGTGGTGAGGTGGGGGCGAGATGAGAGTAACCCCGGGTTTCGAGGCCCTCAGGGACGCGATGTACTCGGAGATCTTGGGCCCCGGGAGCTGCCCCCCCTCTCCCGGCTTCGCACCCTGTGCCATCTTGATCTCAATCTGGTTGCGTTGTCACGCAGCAGGAAGGCGTTTTAAGCGGTGGTGGGAGGGGAGGGTATCGTCAAACGTTCAAGACGTGTGTGTGAGGGGGAGGTGAGTTGCGTTGGTGGGAGGAGAGGGTATCGTGTAATGTTAAAGATGGGGGGGGGGAGGATCTCGGCAATCACGTATATACGGACGTGCTTGTAAATGTCTCCGGTGGGTGCCTACCGTGAGAATACGTGGGGAGGTGGTGACGGTGGGAAGGGGTCTTCGCGTTCGGCCACTGCAAAGATATTACCACGCGTGTAATGTGCCATGGCTCTGTCACTGCATCCGTAGCAAACCGAACAGAAACCAAGCTCATC